AGAGAGAGAGAGAGAGAGAGAGAGAGAGAGAGAGAGAGAGAGAGAGAGAGACAAAGACACAAAACGAGAGAGAGAGAGTAAGAGAGAGGGGGAGAGAGAGGGAGAGAGAGTGAGAGAAAGAGAGAGAGAGAGAGAGAGAGAAAGAGGGAGAGAGAGAGAGAAAGAGAACCAGAGAGTAAAAGACAGTGAGTGAGTAAGTGAATTAAACAATGAGCATGTGAACGAATAGGTTTATTAATGAATAAAGTGTGAGTTAAGTGAAGAGACACAGAAGAGCAGAGAAGGAATGAACAAAGGCAATCACTCAGACTGATTAGATAAGAAAATGAAGTACTTGAACAAGAACAAAGTTCTTCCCGCCACAGCTCCTCCACCTTTCTCGTGCCCACGCGGGAAATGGGAGTGTCCAGGTGGAAGCAAAGTATGCATCAACACCAGCCTGGTGTGTGACGGGAAGCCAGACTGCCCAGGAGGCCGTGACGAGAGCCCAATCTGTAGTAAGTTTATTTAAAGAAACCACCATATTAGAGACTTTGCTTTATTTTCCTCATTTTATACGACACAATCCAGATCATTTTTGAAGTTTGCCTGGTTCGACCTTGCCTGTCCTCGCAAATCCGGGCTAAATGAGATACAGTATCGAAGCAGAAAGACGGAGATACTCAATAAAATACCCCCCCTCCCTTTGCGGGAATCGAACTCACGTAATTTGCAAGGACTTTAAAGAGTCCAATCATATCTTCAGAGACACCGATTGGCTTTGACACGCAGGGTCGAAACAGCCCGAAACCTAGATAGTGATCTTAATTGGTCGCTTTCAAAAGCGAGCTAACCCACATTTCGGGGGTTTCCAGAAATCTTGCCCTTCACCAAAAGTGGGCATTGCCCTACCAAAAGGAGAAGTTTAGTTTCATTGGTGTGTATATTTGTTTGGTTATAGAGAAAACCCTCCTTGTCTTTTAAAGAAGCTGAATTAGAGCAAAATCTTTTCCTTCTATTTTCTCAAAAACAGCATTTTTTGGGGACAGCCCCCTGTTGCTTAAAAGCAACTAATTGCGGTGTACGAGTACGGCGTTATATAATTAACCGCACAGTGAGTAGCCCGTCGAAAGGGACGAGGGGCTATCGGCTGCATGATAAACTTCTGATCTATGTTTACTAATCGCAAGAAGACGGGTCGGGGACAGCTGGACGTAATGTTATAACCAGGTTCGTTCTTGTTGCTTCCAGAATATTTTTCTTTGTTATAACATTGATCACACTTTTCTGAAAGAAAAACTAGTATCATTAAGAATTTTTGAAAGCAGGTTATTTGAGTGAATCATTTATCACAACTTTCTTTTCCTTCTCCTCCTTCTCCTGCTCCTGCTCCTGCTCCTGCTCCTTCTTCTTCTCCTTCTTCTTCTACTTCTTCTTCTTCTTCTTCTTCTTCTTCTTCTTCTTCTTCTTCTTCTTCTTCTTTCACCTCATTCTATCTGTCATTCTCCCCTGACAGATACTGACAGTTGTCACACCGACAACGGAGGTTGCAGCCACGTGTGCATCCAGACCCCACGAGGCGCCGAGTGTAAGTGTCCCAGAGGACAACAGCTGAATGGAACCAAGACCTGCATAGGTGAGTGACGAGCCATATTCTAAGTTGGAATCATGGTTGGCTGTGACACAGTCAAGACACAATTTGTCTACGGCATTGTTTGTTTTTTTAATCTTAAGACCCGTACATTTTGGAGTTTTTGTTTTGGACTCCATTTAAAAAACCCTGGGCGTATTTAATTGTATGTGCATGAAGTCCAAATTTTATGAGGTTGTTATGTATCTTGAGGTGTGCTGGGTACAGTGATGAATAGTATTTGTACAAGAAAATTCGCTTAACAAATCTATTTAGTCTACCTACCTACTTATCTACCACCCACCCGCCGACATATATTGAATAAAGAATTGGTTAGACATCACAATTGGCAGCTGGGCGATCTAAAATGGAATGCTCTTTCCTTGCTGTTAACCGTTAGTGTGATCCTAATCTATACCGACGAAATTTGACCACTGTAGTTTAGACTCAATAATGATGACCTTTCTGATTCTTTCAGATGCCGATGAGTGCACCCCGCCCGGTAGATGCAGCCAGACATGCATAAACACCAAAGGCGCCTACAAATGCGAGTGTGTGGAAGGATACGTCTTGCTCCCAGACAGGCGTACTTGCAAAGTGGTCCGAAGTGAGTACCCAGTAGCTCAAGAGGGACGTGGCCTGGACGAGTACAACATGCTGTACTTTTATTGTGACTGACCCCAAGTTGAAGCTGAATTGTGATTTGTACTTAATGTTCAGTTCTTGTTTCATTGAAGTACCCATAAAAATCTGGCCATCACTCTCGTCTGTATCTTTCTCTCCATCTGTTCCTGCTCCCACCTGTGTTGGTTGTATGTGTACGTGCTTGTGTGTGTGTGTGTGTGTGTGTGTGTGTGTGTGTGTGTGTGTGTGATTGACCATAACGTGTATGCTTGTGTGGGTTTGTGTGTGTGTGTCCATGTGCTTAACGCCCCCTTCGTAGTGTCACTTGAATCTTTCCAGTTACTAGAAGTAAAATTAGTTCTGCAGAGATAAATGCAGCTTTCAAACAAATTCGTACTTGGAACTCCAATAATATAAAATACATATTAGGTATAATCATAAGCTTTAGGCACACTTGTAACTCCAGTTTTCTTGAAGAATTTAAGAAAAGAGACCTAGGAAGAATAGCCGTCAGAAGCTAACATCTTGCTGAATTACAAAATGTGAGTACGAGTATATAGGAAGAAGACAAATCACGCCAACGTCTTTTGAAAAGAGTATTGCTTTTTGGGTAGTATCTATGCCTTTAGCTCTTTGTTCTTTTTGCATCTAATACTTGAAAAAACACCACACGTTGTTTACATGATAATGTAAATACAAGCAAACAATACGATATTCCAAAGATTTGAATAAATACCTCTCTTCAACCAATCTTTTTGCATTCATGGGCTTCTCTTGGGATGAATTTCTCGTTTGTTTTTTCCCTTTTATCGGTGATGCAAGCATCATATGCCTGGTGTGGAAAGTCGATTTTGGTTTTTTGTCTCTTTTACTAGTGGATAATCTTTTCTTTGTTTGTTTGTTTGAAAATAGCTTCTGTAATGTTGTTGGCACCTCCACTTCCTGACAGACAACACAGCCCTCAGCCTGCTGATCGCAAGCAGGACATCTGTGGTCAAGTCTAACCTGGAGGTGTGGCTCTACAATCCACTACCCCTTCCACCGTTCCGCTCGCTCACGGCCATCGACATTGACGTGAGCCAGTCACACGTATACTTCTCCGACACGATGCTCAAAAAGATTTTCCGGACCACCATCAACGGAACAAATCTCACAGAGGTAAAAGAATAAGGAGAGAGAGAGAGAGAGAGAGAGACCCCCTACCCCATTTTTGATTTTTTAGAGTATAGTTTTAGTAGCGTGTTGGCACAATAGTTAAAAACAACTCTTTGGATGAGACGCATCACATGGTTGTTCTTCCCTGTTATCCACAGAGTTCTGAATCTCCCCCTCACCCTTTTCCGTTTTTGATATTTTAATTATATATATATTAACAAATTTAAAAAATCCCGCCATTTTAACAATTTACTGGCCAAACCTAGAAAATACTTCACTGATTACGATGGTTTCTTTTACCAGTTAAGACTTACACTATACATATAGAGAATCATCATCATCATTGCCTTTTTCACCATGGATAAGTTTATAGGCCACGAACAAACACTTTCCACCTTTCCATAGCCTGGGCTAACCTCTTGATGTTATGCCATGTCTTCCCACTTTTCCGTACATCTATCTCTGTTACTCTTCACATTTAGAGAATGACACAAACGATATCCTTCCACCACTCCACAGATTGTCGCTACAGGTATCGACGTGGTAGAAGACATAGCCGTGGACTGGGTAGGGAAGAACTTGTACTGGACAGACTACGGTATGGAGACGATTGAGGTGGTCAACCTAGCAGGGGAGAACAGGATGGTGCTGTTTAGCGAGAACATTACGAACCCACGGGCTATTGAGGTGGACCCCAGGGACGGGTGAGTGTTGTGTGGTTATTTCTGCCCAGCTAAGGCGGGGGGGGGGGGGGGGGGTCGTTTTTGCCCATATTTTTTCTGTTCTTTCTCTCTCTCTCCCCCCCCCCCCTCTGCTCTCTCCCCTCCCCCCTCCTCTCTCTCACTCACTCACAAGCACGCACGCACACACACACAAACATCTACTTACATACACATCACACATCTATTTACACACGCACACACACACACACATGCTCAAACACACCCGCCCCCCCCCCCACACACACACACAGACACACTCTCTCTCTTTCTCTGTCTCTGTCCCTCTCTCTTTCTCTCTCTTTGTCAGAGAGATAGATTAGATAGATAGATAGATGAACCATTATAAATCATTCTTACTTTATCACAAAAGGGTTCGCTACCTGTTCTGGTCGGACTGGGGCCAAAACCCTCGCATTGAGCGCTCAGGTCTGGACGGTACTGGTCGTGTGGTCCTGGTGTCGGAGAAACTCTTCTGGCCCAATGCTCTGACGATCGACTACCCCAACAAGAGGCTTTACTTCGCTGACGCTCGCATGGACTTCATCGAGTTCTGCAACTACGATGGATCCGGGAGACACCAAGTCTTTGCCAACGACCATGTAGGTTACCCGCTTCTAAGTTATTTAATTACGCTTATTTCTTGTTTGAAAGAAAGGCAGGCAGAAGAAAATATGGGATGACCGCTCACTCCGTTTGGCTACACATTTACGAGTTGATGTATTGACCAACTGGTTTATTGACTAGCTGATAGGTTGTCTGAATCAACTAATTGTATGATTGATGAATACATTGCAAACGTGCTTGCTCGGTTACGTGATTGACCGATTGATTATGACACTCTTTGAGTGGTTGTCTAATCGATTGATTAATTCGTTCACAGATTGATCAATCGATTAATTAATTCTTTGGATTTTTGGTTGATCGGTGATCGATTGATTCCCTGATTGCTTGCCTACTTGCTTTCTTTGACTGGCTGGTTCATTAACTGGCTGAATCATCTTAGTGTTGATAGGGGCGTTAAACCGTGTACCATTTCGCATGTTCACAATTTGTTTTGCCTTGTACAGTTCCTGCGTCATCCTCACTCACTAACGATCTACGAAGACTGGCTGTACTGGACAGATCGCGCGGCCAGCCGTGTGTCCATGTGCAACAAGTTCAACTGCTCCGCGCGCTCTGTGGTCGCCTCAAGTATCTCCAGGCCGTTGGGCATTGCCGTCTACAACCAGGTCAAACAACCGCCTGGTATGTACTGTCTTTATGTTCAGTCTGCAGCCTTTTTCTTTGGGTGATTTATACATGTATTTCTGTGTTTGTTTGTTTGTGCGTGTGTGTGTGTGTGTGTGTGTGTGTGTGTGTGTGTGTGTGTGTGTGTGTGTACGTTTGTGTGAGGTCTGCAGCCATGCGTGTGTATGTTCCCCTTTCCCTTTGAAATGTGGCGTGTTTATGTGTCTGTCTGTCTGTCTGTCTGTCTGTCTGTCTGTCTGTCTGTCTGTCTGTCTGCTGTCTGTCTGTCTGTCTGTCTGCTGTCTGTCTGTCTGTCTGTCTGTCTGTCTGTCTGCTTATCTGTCCGTATGTCTTCACGAGATGCAGAAAAAGAATGAGTGAATGAATGAGTAAGTGATTAAGTGAGAGAGAGAGAGTGAGTGAGTGAGTGAGAGAGAGAGAGAGAGAGAGAGAGAGAGAGAGAGAGAGAGAGAGAGAGAGAGAGAGAGAGAGAAAGACAGAGAGAGAGAAAGAGAGGGAGAGAGAGAGAGAGCGAGAGAGAGAGAGAGAGAGAGAGAGAGAGAGAGAGAGAGAGAGAGAGAGAGAGAGAGAGAGAGAGAGAGAGAGAGAGAGAGAATAATGATGGAAGGGCAGGAGCATGCACGTATGGCTACCCAGTTTTATAATAACATGCCTTTTGTTATCCACTTTAAAACCGTGTGTCCCATCTCCAGGTAGCAACCCGTGTCTTCAAGCCCAGTGTAGTCACCTGTGCCTGCTGTCCCCCAAACCCACCGGCTACAGTTGTGCCTGTCCCATCGGCATGCAACTGGACGCCACCTCACACAGCTGTATCAAAGGTAGGGGGCGGATAAGGACTCTACACATTAACAGAGTCTTGTAAAATGTGCTTATATGATTATAAAACATGTGATGATGTGATGAGATTCAAATACGTTTGTTTCACTTGACAATCGTGTGCGATAGACACAATTAATCAGAAAGTGAAATTTGAACTTTGTATGTGTATTTGTCTTTTTGTTGTTCACATATTATGTTGATCACAGGATCGTAGAATCAGTTTAAAGCCTTGGGATCAAGATGTGTTTTGTGGTAAACAGGACAGAAGGATGTGTGGTTGGAGAGTATCCTGAAGACATAACAAATTAATCTGAAAGTAAGAGCAGATTCTGAGCGTATGTGTTTTAACTTGAAACCTTGCACTTTTTTGGATGTAGTTGTGGCCATCGTTGTTGTTGTTGTTGTTGTTGTTGTTGTTGTTGTTGTTGTTGTTGTTGTTGTTGTTGTTGTTGTTGTTGTTGTTATTGTTGTTGTCGTTGTCATTGTCGTCGTCGTCGTGTGTTATTGTTATTGTAAGATATAAGATTTGTTTTTCGAGTTGTCAACTATAGTGCTGTTTTCGTTAAACTTCATCGCTCTTCTTTTTATGGTTACCTCTTCCAAAAGATATATTTCTGGTGGACATTAAACAAATAGTTTTGTATCTTGAAATATCTTATGAACAGAATAGTAAATGCTTAGCCGTTACTAGATAGACAATAACATTTAATATCCGCAGTTTAATGAAAGGTCCCTAAATGCCTGCGACAGGAAAAACAAAATATAATTTATCAAAAATAATTTCTTCAAAATTGTGGGAGTTGTAAAGGCCCAAAAGAGTCAAAACAATCAAAATCATATCTTTATTACAAAGTATTTCTTTCGACTTGCCTTAATTAATGTAATGACTTTCCATACGTTACTTTGCTGATATTTCAGACTCGGCAGAGATCCTGCTGTTTATGCAGTCTCGCTTCATCGCGGGCATCAAACTGGGCAGCACTAACGTGACGGGGATTGTGCCAGTGAGCTCGATAGGCAGCGGTCAAGACTTTGACTTCGATAGCAAACAAGGATACATCTACTACGTGGAGAAAATTAATGTAAGGGTCCGGGGACTGAATGTGTAGCCTCAAAGTAGTTTGGAAACAGAAATTTCATAATTGCATGTTTAACTACCACTGAATCTGTAATATTAATTCTATATATCTATTCAAGGCGCTTACAGAACTCATAAATTTTTGTGAAAAAATATAAGGTGTCTGCAAGACATTCTATTGAAACCTTAAAAATACAGAATTTTGTTGTGTTACCGCTGGCTGTGCTATTAGGAATGTTAATCCCTTCACTGTCTGGCCAGAGACTGTCTCAGGCTCTCTGGTTGGACGAAAAGTAGAAGCGAATTTTTGCGTTACATGTACACGTATATATATTTATTACCAGTCATAAAAGCACATGCTTCTGTGGAAGGTGGTGTCCTTTTCTGTCGGTGGAAGGACTAGGAGGGGAAAGAGATGGTGACCCCGAAATAAGAAACCCTCATATCCTGCTCCAACCCTCATCCCTCCCCCCAACACCTACCCTACCCAACTGAGTGTTGGCGGTTGAGAGGAGACAACGACGTGGTCAAACCCCTTACCTCAGACTAATAAGGAGCCTTCAATGAATTTTTATGTCTAATAAACTAAGATTTATGAAACGCAGAAATGCAATTTTTTACTCTTAGACCTACTCCATAACTCAATTCTCGGGCTTCTGGACTAAAAGCTTCTGGACGTATTTTTGTTGTCCTGCAGCCCCCCCCCCCCTTCAAAAAAAAAAAGGAAACAAAAAGCAAAGAAATACATGGTTAGACATCTGGATAGGAACACGTTTTATTTTTAAAGGTAGAGGGGGAGGCGGTGCACTTTGAAGTCATGTCAATCGCGCCATTTTACGTAAATATACCTCAAAGACTTACCCTTTCTTCGGGGGGGGGGGGGAGTTATTGAAAAGACGATGGGTTCCATGTACAAGAGAGTTTATACACATGTATTTAGGTCTTCCTTTGTTACAGATTTATGCAAACGCAAGTAGTGAAATATATCTTTTTGAATTTCATTCTTATAAAAAGTACACTTCTTCAATTTTCACATGAATTTTTTTAATGCGTTCCTGATACTGTCTACTCTTTTCCAAAGTAAAAGCAGACCCCCCTCCCAAACAAAACAAAACAATACAAACCCTCGCAAATGTACTCACATTGCTTACAGGGCAGCCTGAAAAGAATCCAGGTGAACGGGAGGAACACGTCCGAGTTTGTCCCCACCGCGGTCATCGGTTCCCCCAACGCCATCGCCATAGACTGGATGTCACGGAACTTGTTCTGGGCTAACGCTGCTGCCGGCCTCATGGAGGTGAGTCAGGGTGCCTGTAGGGTGAGACACTTTGAACAACTCATATCAAGTGCCGAAAATTAGAGGTGTTACCAAAGAATAACTTGCAAAGAAAAGGAGGAAGGATAATAAGGACAATAGATGTTGATATAACACAAAAAGAAAAGAAGGAATAATAATAAGGACGATAGATGTTTGATATATAAGAAGGAGAAAAGCGCAGCAGAGCTCCCAACACCCACCCAGTCTCACTGCCCGTTGTCTGTGTCCAGGTGATGCGGCTGGACGGACCAGAACACTATAGGCGGGTCCTGCTCAGCAACAACGGCCGGCGGAGAGACGTGGCCAACCCCCTGTCTCTCTGTGTCGACCCTGCCAGTGGGTGAGAAGCATGTCTGTCTCTCTGGCTGTTTGTTTGTGTACCCGCTTGTTTGTTGTTTGTTTGTTTGCTTGTCCATTTGTTTTTCTGTCTGTTTGTCTGTCTGTCTGTCAAGGTGTTGCTTTTTCCATCGATACCTCTTATTTGATTGCTGACGAAATAAGCTCTCTGCAGTTGCACGAAAAAGACATGAGTTCAAATCCCGGTTTGCGAAGTCTTTTTCACGGATACCTTCGTCTTTCTGCTGGGATGGTGTATTTCTCCTAGCCTTGGTTGACTTGACGCTAACCAACCAGCCAGGCAAATAATTTTTAACTTTGTCAAGGGGATTGTAAACATTTGCAACAATAAAACAACTCTTTCCGTGTTATATAAATGCATTCATGTTGAGTCTTGAATGTTGAACAGCTTTAGACATATCAAGGTTTCTTTAAAAGTGTAATATGCACAGAAAGCCACCCTCTGATATCTGCACTGACAACAAATCCAATCATATCAGGACACGTTGCATTGGAGAGTGGCTCTTTGTGAACACTCTAAGCACTTTGCAGACCTTTTGGTGCGCTCTCCAAACTTAAATCATTTCGTGATTAGAGTTTTGATAAATACGTTATCAGGATTTACTACATAACAATAACTGACACTATGTATTTCCAACTCACAGCCTTCTCTACTGGGGAGATGGCGGAGTGCTTGGAGTGCCGGCCAAAATCGCTGTCGTGGAGATGGACGGTTCAAACCCAAGAGTGCTTCTGTCGGCGGGCATAAGGAGTCCGTCTTACATGACTCTGGATTCGTCCTCTCAAAGTCTCTATTTCACGGATACTTTCCACAGAAAAGTAACTTGGATTATTAGGACCTCTGTTAGGGAAATTTGTTTATAGCATTATATAACATAGGGCCGACATTGTTTTTTTAAAACTTTATTTCACTTCTGATACCCACTGAGTAACAATTGTTTCCCCAATTTTGTAGCAACTTGTACATGGGGTAATCGCATTCCTATCCAGTTTTCACCAGTAACTAGTCACATCAATGATATGCAAATAAAACAAATAAGACCTACTCTAGCAGTTCATCGATGCTATGGTTCACTTGAATTTTGTGTCTCATCTTTACTGTTTAGAATCACTACTCTTTTGTGTATTTATGTGGATCGGTTGATATGAAAAAAATGTATAAAGTATTCGATTAATATAAAAAAAAATGAAATCTCTCTATAAAACAATGAAGAATCTCATAGGGAATGGTCGCAAAATACACAATTTTACTTTCCACTCTGACCTGTCAATCGAAAACGGAGTACTGACGACTCTTTTTCGTCTAACACAGCTGCAAAGATTCTACATCAAGTCGGGCACGGTGTCGCAGGTCGTGTCCTCGGGCTCCCCCCAAGGCGTGGTGTTCCATGGTAACCGACTCTACTACTATGACGCCATCTACGAGACTATCAACCGCGCCCCCTACCCCAGCATCCGGACGGCGGCCGTCCTCCGGAGTAACATCAAGGGAGTGGGCGCCCTGAAGGTGTACTATGACAGGCACCAGTGTAAGTCATTCCATGGTAGTAGATCCATATGACAATGTGTACGTGGTAGATATTGCGCGAGCGGTTTAACTGTTTGGAGGGTTTGTTATGCATGTAATTATGTGGGTTTGTCAGCGTGCACAATGTGTACCGGGAAATCCTTCTTTAAAATAACGATGAGTCTCATAGGGTGTACCAGCGTATGTACCGAGACTAGTCTGCCCCCCCCCCACCCCACTTATTATCAAAAGAGATTTTTGCTCATTACTTTTCTAACTGAATTCGTTGGTATTTCTTCACCATAGCAAGTAGTCAAAAATATTATGGACACATCATTCCTTCAAATCTTCCTGTTTGCCTTC